AGACCAGCAACTGGTTTTTGCGACTGCACTTGAAGATACATTCCAAGTTCTTGACATTTTCCGGATCGACTGGCCTTCATTTCTTAAAGTGATGATGGACGGTCGTTTCTCTTTACTGGGTTGAGTCGTTCTTACTATAATATGGATTACAACAGCAGTCAAATAGGGCTTTCCACTGTGCACTAACTCTACCTCTGCACAACACAACTGATGGTCTCAAACACATTAAGAAGGCATGTCATTCCACACATTGACTCTTGACAAGGCACACGTGTTAATTGAAAACCATTCCAGGTGTCTACCTCATGAAGCTGACTGAGAGAAGCCAAGAATGTGCAAAGCTGTCATCAAGGCAGAAGGGGGCTACTTTGGAGAATCTAAAATAAAAATCATATTCTTTTTTTTTTTAACACTTCTTTGTTAACTAGATAATTCCATATGTGTTCTTTCATAGTTTTGATGTCTTCAGTATTAATCTACAAAGTAGAAACAAATTAAAATAAACAAAAACCATTGAATGAGAAGGTGTCCAAACTTTTGACTGGTACTGTATATAAAAAACACACATTTTAATATTTAGCCGGTTCCCTCATCTATAATCATTTATACAAGCGCAACTTTGAACATGTACAGTAGTAAAATGCAACATACAAAATAATCAAGAAAAATCATCAATTAACCTGTTAAGCCCTGAGCCTGTTTTTCAGGTCTCAGGCTCGAAAATGACATTCCCAGAACAAATTACCATATCTTCCCTTCTAAAAGGGTTAAATTAATAATCTTTATTCTCAAAGTAATGATAAACCTGTGAGTTGGATGTAGAAAAGTCAGAATCAATATAGATGTTTTTTATTTTAAAGAAAATTCAGATTTTACATAGTAAAAAACTGTAAATTATAGTGTCCGTCCAAATATTATGTTTTACTTATAGTGAAAACCACCCTTGGATGATGGGTTAGTAGACTAAAAGCTTTAGGAATCCAAAGTACAACATATAATAAGTACCCTGTATCAAGATTGATGCAAAACAAGTGACATTTTACCTGTTTAGAGAGATTTAGCAAAAATAAACCACTTCTGGGGTCATTTGGGTGGATTTTCCATATCTCTGGCCCCCCTTGCTTGATCTTTCTGACCGTTAGGGCCAATAGAATCGAAGGGGGAGTCCCCCACACACACACGTTGTGAAGAGAAAAGGTGGGGGCTTCGCGCATGTAATTTTCCATCAGAGTGAACCTATCTCTAGCTTTGACATCTGGAAACGGAAAAGCAGTTTTAATGCTTATGGATTATCAGAAATCATTTCAAAGGGACACAGACACATTAGATTAAACTATGGATTAACTTCAGCAGCGTTTTTATCGTTTTAATGCCATTGAAGACCACTTTGGAGAGACTACAGAGCCAAGGTAAAAATGTTAGCATTTTTAGCTACCTAGCGTCACCTGTTTTGATGTCCGTTTTTGCTTATAACGTCGCAAATACGTATAATTCAGTGGTAATGTCGGTGTCAAACGATTCTGTGTCGATGTGAATCGATGTGTTGGATGTGAGTGATTTTCGGTGCAGTAAGGTGTTAGCATTTTTCGCTCGTTGCTAATTCAGAGGCTCAGTGTTAGCATTGTGGGTTTTCTTTTAAAAAAAAGATCAGTTAGATGAGTTTCTTCCCGTTACATGGATATAAAACATTCATAGTTTTATTAAATGAACATGCCCTCAGACACTGTTTCCTGCAAGATGTTGCGGCAGTACCCCGGTCCCGGGGTCTCTCAGTTAAACACCGATAGGGAACATTTTACTGCACCATCATTACTTTTACATAAGGTGCCGTAAAATGTTCTGTTTAAGACTTGCATACTTTTACTTAAATAAGGTTTGAATGCAGGATTTAAATTTGTAACAGAGTATTTTAATTCTATACTGTAGGCGTAGTGTATCTGTGAACGATCCCAAATACAATTCCTTGTTTACATTGTAGCTAGTGCTACGCCAGAAGAAAAAACCCTTTTTCATTTTTAACTGGAAGTGGAAAGGGGCTGGGCTACATAAGGTGAATTGAGCCAACAAAAATACACAATAGGCGGGACTAAGAAAGATAATGTGAAAATATAAAAACAAAGGCATTTGTAGGTGCCATAATGCTACTTAGCCCAAGTTCATTATTTGTATTATTATTTGTTTACGTCACTTTTATTTGTTTGTTGAGCACTTCCGGTAATTGTGTGGTTTGTCTATTTAAGTCACCTGTTTCATGTCGAGTGCGGATGACAGAGGGTGAGCTTGTGCTGTCATTTTTTCTGTTGACCGTTTTGTCCATGTTATGATTTTGTTTATTAAATATCCCAAAAACTATCTTGCTTCACTATGGACTTTCTCTTCGAAAACGCGTCACAGTTTATAGCCAAGTTTAGCCTCTCAGCGACTCAAACGCAACTGGGGATTGAGCCGCCACAGCATTAATAGGCTCTGTGCACAAGATGGCGTCTATCAACTTCCGGCGGGTGGGTGTGGGGGCGAGTACTTCCGGTTTGAGTACAGAGTTTTTACAGCTTGACAGTTTGACAGTTTGACAGTTTCTTATGACACACCAAGAGCAAGAATGAGCGGATTTCGGGGTAAAGAAAAGCGATTGGCCTTCCAGCGGGTAAGAAAGTCGGCACTACATTGCTGTGTGCCACTGTGTACGAATTCGGCCCGTTATAATCGGGAGATAAGTTTTCATGCATTTCCCATTGATGCTGAGGTAAAGGCTCAGTGGCTGATCAAGGTCCGTAAGGGACAATTTCAGCCCCACAAAAAATACCCGTGTGTGCAGTAGGCATTTTCGACCAGGAGACTTATTGGTCACAGCGGGAGGACTGCACAGAGTACAGAAAGGAGCTACACCTGTTCTCTTTGCATGGAATAACTACGAGCTACCTACACCAAGACGTAATGTTTGGGAGCGTCGGCCGAGGGCAGAGAGCCCCACCCCGGACTTGACAGCTGAGTACGAGGTGGAAACAGTTGCGCTGCCTGATCATGAGTACTGTTTAAATCCCGCGACGGCAGTGATGGCAAATCAGGTGGCCGACGAGAACGAAGCCTTGAAAATGCAGGTTAGGGAGCTCCAACACCAGCTGGAAGTGTTACAACTGCGATCTCGTTTCGGGATACAACGCCTGGCAGGGTCGGACGAGGACATTCGTTTCTACACCAGGTTTGTTTATAAAGCTATCAGGATGTTGTTATGGCCACTAGTTTGAAAAACACCTTTCATTTGGGGAAGCTAATTTAAGAAACAAAACAATGTCTAACATGAACAATATTACATTCTTAGATTTGCCACATACAAGCATTTCCTTGCCTTTTGGAAATTGGTGGAGCCAGCAGCCAACACCAAGATGGTGCGGATCACCAACGCCAAGGCATCCTCTGCCAGCAGCTCGGATTCCTCTCAACCAACAACAACGGTATGCAGCATACAAGCATGGATGTATATTAATAATTATGCACGCTGCGCACTATACCACCGTTTAACAAGTGCATCACATCACTCACACACATGCCACACACACACACACACACACACACACACACAAACGGAAAATGTGTTACAACTGTACCCGGTCTCCCTATAACAGTATCTACAGTATGCCTAACACTTATTTGTTTTCACAGAAACTTCCACCCATAGATGAGCTGCTGCTGTTCCTCATGCACCTGTCAGTGGGCCTACATCTGAGGGATCTAGCAGAACGGTTTGGCATTCACCGCACCACAGTCAGCAGAATTATTTCCACCTGGACACACTTCCTGTACCAACTGCTTGGAAGCCAACGTCTGTGGATCCCACGCGAAGTTGTCAGAGCTCACCTTCCACCAGAGTTTTCAGCTTTCCCTGACACACAAGTGGTGCTTGACTGCACTGAAGTATTCTGCCAGACTCCATCATCTCTCCTGCTGCAGAGTGAGGTGTTTTCAACGTACAAGTCACATGCTACATTCAAGGCCATGATCGGCATGGCACCACATGGTGCCATTACATTTGTGTCTGGCCTGTATGCAGGATCTATGAGTGACCGGGAGATTTTCAAGCTGTCTGGCATCGTGAGCCTGCTCACACCAGACATGGCAATAATGGTCGACAAAGGGTTCCTTGTGGACAATCTGGTTGAGTGCAAAGTTTACCGGCCTGCCTTTCTGTCAAAAAAAACCCAAATGAGCAGGGAGGATGTCAGGCAGACTCAATCCATTGCACGTCTGAGGGTCCATGTGGAGAGGTGCATCAGAAGGGTCAAAGAGAACAAACTCTTTGACAAAGCCATACCACTGTCTGTGTGTGGAAGCATTGAGGAGCTTTTCAATGTGGCTTGCTTCCTGGTCAACTACCAGAACGGACCACTGGTGAAAGCCTGGGCAGCAATGATTAAAAGATTTCTTGCTCCCAAACCAATTGTGTATTTCATTGTGGTCATTACAAAAAGCAGTCATACCATACTATGTTTAGGTACTAATGAATTATAACCTCAAAACAAATGCACACAAAAATAACATAGGACAATACATAATATAATAAATCCACAATATGATAACATTTTACAGATTCATTTAATACACTTTTACAAAACATAGGTTGATATTATATCGGGGGAAAAAAATACATATTTAAACATTTCAATTAGTCTCTGCATATTTAAGTAATGCTAGTTTATGTAACAGATGAACAGATCAATGCAAGATAAGTTAGTTAGCATCCACAACTTTTGTTAATGAATAACGTCATATGACATTAAATGTCTGCCAATAAACACCCCTTTCTTCCTCACATAGGTCCTTTGACTAAAGGATCTTTTTGACTTATAGAACACACTTGGTTCTGGTTTTAGCAATTGAAAGAACTATACAGGAAAATATTCATGTTAGATCAGTAATGTAGTGTGATGTAGTGTGGTACACTAATGTAGTGTAGTGCATATCAGTCCATGTAAAAATAAAAATAAAAATAATCTCCCTTCTCCCTAATGGTTGTAGCCAGATACGCAGATACGCTGTATAAGGATATCCTCCTCTGCAAAAACGACAAAATCGCACCACTCCATCCCTGTGAGTAGGAGCTGGCCTTGCACCTGCCAATAGTAGCTATGAGACTGCTTCAGTTTTAATGTGCCACTTTGCATTTTTAAGTAGCTACAGTCCACATAACTTTTTGCATTTGGGCATTTTATTTCTACAAGTCCAAAAGGTGGGCTCTCAGTTGGGTCAAACACCAGACCGTCAGGAGATGACCCTAACCAGGGGGCATCTGGGTGAATGACAAACCCACACGGCCAGTAATTGGTGTTTTTAATCCGGCAGTATTCCTGGATGGCAACCGGTTCCAGTGCCAGTCCCCTCTTCATTGATGCCGTTTGCGCCACTCCCTTCCGAATCCGTTGTGCTAAGTTTTCAGCCGAACTCTGACCTCGAACATGGCATACTTCCCTGAAACGGGAAGAAGTTATTCTTGGCCTCCTAACACGGTGCCATTCCACACTGTCGCTCTGCTCCCTTGTGGCCACCTCGATTTTCCTTGCCATGAGCAATGTTGTCGCAAGTGACAGTAGATGGAGGTGCTGTTGGTGACTGCACACAAACTCACAGGTGGTAGGCTCCAGCCTATAGCCATCCACAGGTAGAGGTGGTGGTGGAGGGGCATCTGGGTGACGCACTATAACCCGGCTAAGAGGTAGTGGATGCTGGTATGAGATAGGGCTACCTTCCTGAACTTTTCCAAAGGTGGAGTTAACCAGTGGCACGTCCACACTTATAGCCATGGTGGTGATCAGTGGTGCGATGTCTGCTGAGAAGTCCTTGTATACCTCGCTGACTTTGAGGACATCTGGGTCTGGCAGCTCCCCCCGCACGGCCTTGTAACGTGTACTCCTTTGAACATGTTTATATAATAATTAGGACTTTAAGAACAATTTTACACTCAGACAACAATCACAAAGTTGTTGCAGGCTACATACAATTACTTAGGACAATAGATATTACCTTACACCGTCAGCAACTGTAAACTGCTTTGGCTTAGTGGAAATGAACACCATGTCACTCACTCTGCCTGGTTTCACACCCTATTAATTACACAAAAGAATTGTCAAATTCATTGAAATGGTCATTGATGCAACATACTAGATCAGCTCTTGGCACAAAGGAAATACTAATTAAACCGTGGATTGGTTGTGAACACATACTGTACTTACCATGGTTCTTGGCTTGTGCCATCGCTGCTCTGTTTCAGTGCAGCTGAGGACAGGGGGTACAGCAGCCAGGTTGAGTGTGGAGTAGTGTGCGGTCTGGAACAGCAGTGCAACATTGTGGTTGCAGAGTGCTGTTCCAGCTACACAGGAACACTTTGCCACTGCAATCTCCACAGGTGAGCAGTTCTCAAAGACAATCTACACATTAAAATAAAATGTCAGTCATTTTACATTTAGAACACCGCTTCAATACAACACAGAAAAATGAGAAAGCTGAGAGCAGGCTGATCAGGCAAGTAGTAGGTGTGGGAAAAGGCTAAACCATGTCAGGTTATCAGTCACATCACATACACAGAAGTTCTGCTGTTTGGAATACTGTAATTTAAGGACATTCAAACAGATAAACTCTCTCAGCTGTCTCAATTTATTATCTTATTATATTATAACTACATAAAATAGTGTTAGTAGAACGTTGAACAGCTTAACATAGATGTAGGGTACAAAACCAGCACTTACCTAACACTGGCCCATACAAATAACTGGACCCTACATGGATTATACTAACCATACAGTAAAGAACAGCAGCCGTCACAACCAGTTTCTGGGGTTTCCATGAAAGTAGAGACGGTTTTCAACCTCTCATTAATAATCTTTGATGAAAGCTAAGTTTGGGTTTAGCTAATGTATTTATCCTTTTACACGAGAGGGTTACAAAACGAAAATAAATCTGTAGCCCCTTCATGCTACACACACATAGCTAGCTACCAGTTGATGTGAGCTAATTTATTGTCACTATGCAATCTGTTGCAACACGTCAGCTAGCTGGGCTTTTTTTAATCCTAAATCACAGGTTACCTACTCTAGCCACATCAAAACCCCAGAACATGAACCTGATTGAGGCTTTGAACCGATGAACACTTTTTATTTTCCTCCCTACTCTGAGATCGTGAGGCTTTTCATGCTTCCTCATGGACCTGTAACAGCTAGCCCTGACGCTCACTCTCCCTGAAGGTAGATCTTTGTTTGAAACTGTGGGGAATTGGACATCATTCATGTTATCCAAAACACGTAATAGTACATCATTAAAACGCTTTACACTGTATCAAGACTGTCAAGTTGTCAAAGTTAGCCAGTAACTACAGCTTTGTTTGTCACTTACCTTCATAGTTGTCGATGTAACTGGATATGTACATCTTGAACCCCTTTTCTCTTTTGCTCTTCGGGGCTGAGCTTGCCGCTTGTACCAGCCGATGTACGTCACTGATGTTAACCTTCGGTAGGTCTTGGAGACATCGAGTGTAAAATAGTGCCATCACGTTAACGTTAGCCTTCTCACTTTGCGCTATCTGTATGCTATCTGTATGCTATCTGTATGCTATCTGTATGCTATCTATCTTGCTATCTATCTATCTCTCTATCTCTCTCTATCTCTCTCTCTCTCTCTCTCTATCTATCTATCTATCTATCTATCTATCTCTCTATCTATATCTCTCTATCACTATCTATATCGCTTCGCTATCTACCCGCTCTACCGTAGACCGGATGTTAACAAGCGCCCACTCAATGAACCGGAAATGGAAATACGTCATCCCGTGCAACTAGCCTATTAGGGCTGCAAAATGTCTCCCATTTTAATGGTGATTAGACTTTGAAATGCTAACACGTAACAGTTTGTTCTGACTGTGTGTTTCCTGTTTCCTGCAGATGTCCAGCTGCTGGTGGTGGTTAAAGAAGAGCTTCTCCCTGACCAGCAGGAGTGGAGCACCAGTCTGGACCAGGAGGACCCAGAGCCCCCCCCACACATTAAGCAGGAACAGGAGGAACTCAGGATCAGTCAGGAGGGAGAGCAGCTTCAGGAGCTGGAGGAGGCTGATATCACCAAGTCCACTTTCACTCCTGACCCTGTGAAGAGTGAAGATGATAAAGAGAAACCTCAGTCCTCACAGCCTCATCAAAGACAAACTGAACACATGGAAACAGAAGCTGATGGAGATGACTGTCGAGGACCAGAACCAGCCAGGAACTCAGATCCAGAGAGCAGTTTACAACCAAAGACTGAGGACGACACTGAAGACTCTTCTGAACCTGATACTGGAGACTCTTCTGAACCTGACACTGAAGACAGTGCTGATTGGAAAGAGACCAGAGAACCTGCATCAGGCTCAAACTCACTGAAAAATAGACATGAATCTGTCAGTGATCCACAACGTAGTGCTGAAAATAAACCATTCAGCTGCTCAGTCTGTAAGAAAGCTTATTCACATAGTGGAAATTTAAATGCACACATGAGAATCCACACAGGAGAGAAACCATTTAGCTGTACAGTCTGTAAGAAAGCTTTTTCACACAGTGGAAGTTTAAAGAAACACATGAGCATCCACACAGGAGAGAAACCACACAGCTGCTCAGTCTGTAAGAAAGCTTTTTCACAGAGTGGAAGTTTAAAGGAACACATGAGAATCCACACAGGAGAGAAACCACACAGCTGTACAGTCTGTAAGAAAGCTTTTTCACAGAGTGGAAGTTTAAAGGAACACGTGAGAATCCACACAGGAGAGAAACCACACAGCTGCTCAGTCTGTAAGAAAGCTTTTTCACATAGTGGAAATTTCAAAAGACACAAGTGTGTTGGTCGTCAGCTGCTTCTGTAACCGTAAGGGAATACATTTGTCTATTTTGTATCCTGATTACCTAATGCCGTTACATGTAATACGTTACATTACCTTACTCCCTAAGCCTGATTTCACCCATCTGCAACCGATTTGCGAATAATCACAAATGTTCATTTATTTGACCCCTTGACTCGACTATTTCTTGTTTAATAATGGTTACATCTCCTCAGGACCAAGTTCCCGTGTCCTGCCTTTCACCTGCTGATCACCCACTGCTCATTTAAGGTGGACTGACCTTTACAAGGGACCAGCTAGTCTTAGCGTCTTAATGCAAACGTTTTGTAAAGTGATGCTAGACCAAAAACGTGCTGTTGGGTTGTGTGCTCTCTGCAGGACGGTGTCTGTACTCAAAGATTGTTTATGAAATGAGAGCTTCACTCTGCTTTTGTTGTCTAAACAACGCCAACAGAGCGATACGTCTTCTTTCCAGCAGATGGCATAAATGTTACATCATCCAGTTCAACTGTCATCCACATATTAATGATTCAAAACAGCAATGTGTAAGAAATGGCTAGTAATTGACTATTTCAACAGAATGTGAAGAGGTTACAGTCTTGAGGCAATGTCCAATATGTTTATGTTTTGTTTGATTAAATCTACTGAAATGAGCATTCAATGACTAAATGATTCTTAATTACTGTCCTTACATCATGGGTTTGCATTGCAATATTAGAACGCATAAAACCCAACTTTATTTCTTCCAAGTTGCGGGTGTTCATTGTTTAGAAGTCCGCTGTGTTTCATCCAAGCTTCCACTTTGTGCTCCGATAATGCTGAAAGTATCTGTTGTATGCTTTACCTGCTCCAGTAACACAAGTGTAATTCACTGGACAGAGACAAGAGATAGTGGATGGATCCAGAAAAGAACCAGAAGATAGTCTGTATAGAGCCTTCAGGTTCTGAAAATGATCAGGGATAGAGCTAGAAAAAAACCTGAATAGAGCTAGGAGATAGCCAGCACAAAGCCAAGAAAGACCCAGTAGAAATACAGGAAGGAGCCAAGCTCTTCTCTTAAGGTATTAGAACTTCTCAACATGTATCCTTTTATTCCAATTAAACATTTTTTTACATTTTTGCTGCCAATTATTGAGATTGTTTCACAGCTTTATCTGAAATATTTAGACTTTTTTTCTTTACATACAGTTGAGGCCTAAATTATTAGCCCCCCAGGAGTTATGAAACATTTTCCTAACATTCTTCCTAATGTTTCCAGCATTGATAAAACTTGATATAATCAAACATTCACCAGTGCTATTTAGTAGCTTTTGGTACATTTTGGGAAATAAAATAAGTTTTTAGGCTTGCTTTATATCAAATATAGTGAAAAATGGGTTGGTCAAAAATATTAGCCCCCATGTGAATCTTTGCTTTCAAACCACACCTAATCAACCAATCAGCTTTCAAGCCACACCTGAGCATTCAATCAGCATAAAAGGACTCCAAGAAACAGGCACTTGAATACCTTATTGAGAGGGACTATACTACTACTCACCATGCCAAACACAAAGGAAATCAATCAATCAATGTTTATTTATATAGCCCAATATCACAAATGTTACATTTGTCTCAGTGGACTTCACAGTTTGTACAGAATATCAGTATGACAATACGACACCCTCTGTCCTTAGACCCTCACATCGTACAAGGAAACACTTCCAAAAAATGAAAAACCCCACAGTTTAAAGGGAAAATGGGAGAAACCTCAGGGAGAGCAACAGAGGAGGGATCCCTCTCCCAGGACGGACAGACTTGCAATAGATGCTGTGTGTAAATCGAAGAGATAATACATTTTACAGCATAGGTAAACCAAATGTTTGGAAATGCATGTGTCTGTAATAAGAAGATGAATCCACGAAGATGTCAACAATCCTGTGGGAGCCATCAGGGAAGTAGTATGATGAGAGTCAGGCAGGACCGCAGAGACAAGTTCAGCCATGACTCGAAGTCCAGGACTCAAATCCAGAACTCAGGATAGAGGATCCAGGACACAGGACCACAGCAACAGGATCAGCCACGACTCAGGATCCCGGCGTAGATATAGACACCAAAAAGAAATTTGGGGGAAGCTGGGCTATTCGGAACATGAGAGTACACAGGTAGACAGACAGAAGGAAGAAGTAAGGTGTCCCCCGACAGTCTAAGCCTATAGCAGCTAAACTAACGTGTCTACGTACATGCACTCCCTTAGGATAGGTTGAGGGATAAGGGGTAGCAAGTAAGAAGTAAGGAACAGAGGTGGAGAGGCACAACGTGTCTACGTACATGCACTCCCCACTGCAAAAACAGCCCTTCCAAAAACTAGTAAAAAAAGAATGAAAACAAGATGTTTTCGATGTTGTTATGAGCAAAATAATCTGCCAATAGAACAAGTGAACATTAGCTTGGTAAGATTTCTTGAAATAATATGCGATATTTAGATACATGAGATATTGAAACTAGCTGGGAGAACTAATTTTGAACTTAATTTGACCAGAATTAGGAAATCTTATGTTACAGAAATGAGCCAAAAATGATCAAAAACAGTATTTTGCCCTCAACATAAACTTTTAGATTTTTTCATTTCAGGACCATTTACCCTTATTTTAAAGTGGACCTATCATGCTATATTTGAATAATATAGTGTAGGACCATACCTATATAAGGCATATTTATACTTTTTTTTTTCTCAAAATACCAAACAGATCATGCATTTTAGCCATGCCTCATTTTGCTCAATTTGACAATTTCTAGCTCTGGGCAGATTCAGTGAGAACAGCACCATCTACTGGCCTGGCATATGTATTACAGCGTCTCCAGCGCTTTCGAACGGCAATGGCCGTGGCTGTCTCCTCCTGATTGGTGGAGTTGGCCCAATAGCCGTAGCGCCACTGTCCTGACGTCAGGACAGTGTTCACATCTGGATCAGTTTGTATCAGATCCGTTGCAGCCCCTTTTTTAGAGATTTGGGTATGGAGGAAA